CCAACACATCCTTTATGTCGTACGGCTTCAGAGCTCTGTTGAAGTTTTGCCGAGCGATGAAATACTTGACCACTCGTATGAATCGGATGGCCGTCTTCTCGCCGTTGGTCAGCGGCTCGTGTCTGCCGTCACACCGTTTGTATGACTTCCAGGTGACCGTCGATATGGAGTTCTCGCTCGAGACATAGCACCTCCACGTGCACTGTATTAGTTTGGCTGCAATTAAATAATAATAAAAATGTTCATGTTAGTTTATCTATGTGTCCAAATTAATTAAACTCTTATCTGAATCACCTGCAGGTTCTCTCCGTTTACCCATTTGTCTCACTCTTTGCTGTTCCTGAACCTAATAATCGTTAATATTTACGTTTTAAAACTATTTATGCTTTAATTAAATTATATTACTGAATAAATTACTTTATTTTGATTACATGTACTGCAATTCAAAATAACTAATTATAAATGCAGATAACATATTTTATTACTTTTATTTAAAATTTATGTCTTAATAAATGTTAACTTTTATTAACTTCAAATTTAAATTAAAAAAAACAAATATAGAAAATAAATACCTTGAGTGCGAGTCCTGTGCCCAATATTCCGGCCGGTAATGCAAATATTGAGACACCAATTATTATACATATAGAGGACAAGAATTTTCCGGTTGGCGTAATGGGAATCATATCTCCATAACTACACGTGTAATAATAATTCAAGTTTTTTTAAAAGTTACAACAATTGCCAAAATAATTATAAACTACCCGACAGTGCAAAGCGTAACGACTCCCCAATACATAGCGGCGGCGATGTTATTGAAGGCCGGATTCACGTCTTTCTCGACAAAATAGATGGCAAATGAGATGAATAGCAGCGATAGAAAGCCCATATATGTAGTGATGGCTAAGTGTTCCCTCTGTTGCCAAACGACAGATGACATGACAGGCCACGGACGGAACCTATGCTCGAGTCGAAGCATTTGAAACACTTGGAAAAAGCGAAAGCCACGGAAGTATACGAATAGTGTGTGCCGTTTGGTGTCGAAGAATAAGACAATACAAGACGTGATGATAACCAACATATCGATTATACGGAACGGATTCCGGAGACTAAACCCCAATAAAAGTTAAGGATATGACAAATAAACTATTCTTGCGATTAGTTTGAGTAAAAATATGTTGTAAATTAGATTTCTTACAAACGAAGTCTTCCTCTCCAACCCTGATCTGTGGGTTAAGTTATGGTATGAAACATATGATTGGTTTAATGCTATATTAATGTAATTTGTTGTATATTATTGTGACATACAGTGAGAATTACAGGAAGCACTCCATAAGCGAGCAACAAATTCGGAGCTAAAGAGGGCTGCAATCAAACAATCCATATATCGTAACCCATTTGTCGCATAATTTTCGTATTCTACAAGAATTGGTCTCAATTTTTAGTCAAATTTCTTAATTGCAATGCAATGTGTAATAAGAAAATAAATATAATTGATCCATATAAGGTAATTTGAGTGAATAATTAAATATATTGACTAAAATTACATTGTTCAAATGGCTATTAAGCGTAAAGTCTAGACAAACCATTGATCCAATGAATGCTAATTCTAAAGGCAGTGTTAGGAGACAAATGCCATCCGCTTATTGTTTGAATAACATTGAGATTAATTTATTAATTGATGAAAAATACCTGAAATTGTGGAAAACACAGTCAATAGCAAACAAACGAAGACAACTACTGAGACAAACACATGATAAACAATGGCAACAAAGCCTCGCGGTCTCTGCAGGAAGTTATAAACGGCCAGCTTTTCCTTAAAAAAACTAATATCATTGCGTAATCGATGTATAGGTATGGGTCGGCCGAGGATTGATAGTCGGATGGGCTCTTCCCTCGTCGATGAATACAATTTATGAATCAAAGACTTTTTTCTTCTTAGTTTGCATTGAGATTCAATGTCTGGAGCATTGGATTGTTGTTTGCATTCATTGTTTGCACTCAAATAGTTT